GGAGTATTTAGACTGCAGGAATGATGGGAATTTAGAGAAGGGAGAGATTATTGAGGGCCATAAGAGTTAGGGAAAGGTTTCTTGGAGAGATAAAACCCAAGTTGGTCTTCAAAGGGGAAAGGTAGGATTTGGAAAGGAGGGCATTCTTGGCAAGAGAAATAGCATGAGCCAAGACATGCAGGGAGGAATGAACAGAACAGACTTGAGACTAGCCTGGCTGAAGTTACAGATGCCTATCTGAAGAAAAAGCCCATATATAGGGTAGGACAAGATGCTGGAAGGGTTGCTTATGGGGACAACCATTTAATCATTCCTCAAAGCAGTTGGGCCCAAGCTTGGGCTTGGAAGGCTTAAGTGACTGAAAGAATGCCAGGCTAGGATTATAGAAAGGCAAGGCCAGAACCTAGGTCTCTTAACTACCTCTGTGACCTTGGTCAGATCATTTCTCCTCTCAGGGTCTCAGTTTCCTATCTATAAAAGGAGGGGGTTGGGTTGTAAGATCCCTTTAAGCTCTATGAACTGATACCTATATGATCCATTGGTTTTTCAACCCAGTGAAGAATAAAGGCTAATAATTGTTCTGTTGAATTAACCCCATAGTGTATGCCCTTCTTCCTAACCTTCCATTTCTCCCCTTGTATGTTTCCCTCCTCCCACCTCAATCACCAGTCACTAGGAACATTGAAAGTTGGCTTGAGAGAAGTCATTGTTCTTGTTTATGGCGCCAGCAGAGGTTAGGGACGTGCTCTTAAACATCCTCATGTTCACAAATTTCCTTTAACAAATCCATAAGTGATTGAAAATATTTAGATAACTTATCATCATAATTCCAACTTGTGTGTTTACTGATCTTTGTAACAGCACCTCCCTGTTATTTTTCGCCAAGTTTAATTCTTGAGCCTGAAAAATGTATGGGGGAAGAAGACTTGGAGTCAGGATTTTGTTCATATTGTGACTCAGATGCTTATTAATTGTGTGACCCTAGGGAACTCACTTAAACTCTCTAAGCCTTAGTTTTTTTTCACCTGTAAGGACTCTATGGTCCCTTCCAGTTCTAAATCTATGATCATGTGGGTGTGCATGTATGTATGGCTATATTCACTAATCTTAGAAAAATGTGCTATCTCAAATACCAAAAAACTTTTTAAACTGTCAGGCCCTAGAGCAATGAGATGAGTAGAAGTGGCTGCTTATAAAGAGCAAAATTCCTTTGAGTAAATAAGGCTACTCTGGTTGTGGAGGGGATTGGGAAATTCTGGATAGTAGCCAGTGAGAAGGCAGTCACCCTCTCTTCGGTGCAGACTCCACTTAGAAGTCCTAGGCCTACCTGAGAAAAAAAGCATAGGCTTTATTTAGAACCGGAAGAGTCTCAACAAGTAGTTATTAATGATAATTAATGTCAGTGCAGCAGGAAGTCTCCAGTGGAGTACCCCAGAGATCTGTTTGGCTCTGCACGGTTAGGTGTGTTAGAGTGTATGGGTTGACCTAGATAGCCAATAAGTTCTGAGATTGATAGTTCAATTCCTTTTGCAAGACAAGGAAACCAAGACCCAAAGAAGTGAATCTGTTCAATTCATTTCGGGCCCATTTTCCCAATATGGTACATTTTCTACTGTACCATGTTGTCTCCTGGGAAGCCAAAATCTCTGGCTACTTAGGAGTTTGGAGAGTTTCACCTGGCCTCAAGTCCACATGCACCCTCTGGGCTCCTATGGGAAGGAAGGAGGGGATGAGATGTTGGCCTTGCCTAGGTGGGACTGGGAGAAACTACATATTTTGAATGTGTCCTTTTGTTACTTACATGTGTCTCTGGAAATCTTGGTGATTTTGTAGGATCAGAGCTTTAGGGAAGGGAACTTGAATGACCACCTTCCTTTTATAGATGAAGACACTGAGGCCTTGGCCTTGAAATGACTTGCTCAAGGTCATACAGCGACAACATCAAGATGAAAATGTGTTGCAGGATTGCATCCTTTTAATTAAAAGAATAGCACAGTGTAGTTTTGTGGCCCACTCCCCAACCTGTAAGGCCATCACCAAAGAAAATCCTTGTTTTGGACCTGTCTCCTCTGGACCTCCCTCCTTGCTCCCATCAGTGAAAGACACGAGGGACTGTGGGGAGGAAAGAGTTGGTATTTCACTTTGCTTATGCTTATGGTCTCACCTCAGCTGTTGCCCTTGAGTTACAACGCTCTCTGGACCTCCCTCTACTGCCAATCCCAGTTGGACCTCCCCTCTCCCCTCCCTACTCTTATGTGGTCTCTCTCTTGTAGCCCCTGCTGGGCCTGGAGACCTGGTTGTCACTGCTGTGCTCTTACATAGTAAATGTCACAGCCACACTTTCTCTCATCCTGTTTTTATTACAAAGAAGTTTCCAACGCTCCCTCCCTCCCCACCCATCCTCTTGAACAGCAGTATAGATACCCTTTGCCAATCATTCCATGAAAGGAAAGAAAAGCCAGGGGCTTGGTCTCTCTCTCCTGAAAGGACCAATGTGAGGGTTTGTTGGGGGGTGGGGTGGGGCGGTATCTTTAATTTAAAATGCTTTTTTGGCTTTTTAAACTGGGGAATGGGGAATTGGGGTATAACCTCCCTCTGATACCCCTGTGAGGAGCACTGCTTTCTGAGGAGTGTTACCTTTCCAGTGTTAAGTGAAAATTGCCCCGTTCCAGGCATTTCTAAGTCCTGGGGGCTGGGGAGGACCACTGTTCTCTCCCATTTTTGCTACAAAATTCCCATCTTCCCATTTCATTCCTTCCCATCAGTCTCTGTATCCTTCACACAATCTGGCTGCTATTCACAGTTTGTTTGTGATTTGTGTGTTTTTTTTTTTTTATAAAAAACTTAGCAAAAAAAAAAAGTGGTGCTATTTTTAGAAACCTCTTTTGAAAGTCCAGCGTAGCCCAGCTACAACCCTGGTTCATCTGGAAATTCCTCCCCTCCAATAGGCATGCTCTCAGAGCCACCTATTTTTAATTCCCCAGTGTTTCTCTGCCCCCTCTGTTGTTCCCTCTTCCTCTCTGGGAATGGCTACTTGCAGAACCCCATTCTGTCCATCCGGCACATTATTCCAGACACGTAGCTGAGGGAAAACTAGTCTGTAGTGGAATATATGCAGGCCCAGCTTCCTGCTTGTCATGGAAGGCGACTTCTCGTCCATATGTTCTCACCATCTCAGCTTCCATCAGCCCGTCCCGTCCGTGTGAAATTTGAAATTGTCACCATCCTAGTAGGGATGCCCAGCCTGGGAAGCCGCAAATCTGGGTGTCACGCCTGCAACCCACCTCTCTCTCCCCCCTTCACTCGGGGATTTCGTGGTTGTCATTGAACCAAAGAACAAATGAAATGGCGGTTTGCTTAAGGCTGGTGGCACCATTGTGGTCAATGGCGGCCTCTCCCCTCTAGGGCCTAGCTTGGATGAGGTAGCATTTGGTTGGCGCTGGTACCCGTCCCCTGCTTGGCATTACATACAGTTCTTCCAGCTGCCCTGGTCCAGGATCAACCCCGTGCAGTTCTGTCTGAGCCCCTGGAAGGCCTGAGTGCAGCCATCTTCAATGGCTATGGGGAAGGGGGTGTGTGGGTGTGGGGCTGTGTGTGGCATAGGGGTATGTGTGAGCGTGTGTGCCTTTGGCAATGTTGATAATAACAAGTTCAGAAACTGGATGATGGTGGAGGCAAGGGGAGGGAGGGATATACCTGGAGTTGCCAGTCTGCGCTCATGAACATTTCTTCAATGAGTGAGATGCCCTAAAACTAAGGCCTCTCCGTTTGCACGGTTTTTAACCTAAGCCTGTCTCCTTGTCAGTATGTTAGACTTGATCTAGGGAGGGTTGTGTTTGGAGATACCCTAGCTGTTCTGGGATGTAGGATGGAGGTTGACTTTCCCCCCTAGAGGATGTGAGGGATAGCTCTCCAGACGTGGTATTCCAGGGCCTGACACCCCAGTCCTCTTCCCCCAAACTCACATCCTTCCTTGTCTTAAGGATCACAGGACTCAGAGCTGGAAGGTAAACTTAGAGGTCACTACTCCAACCCCTTTCCCCCTCATTTTTCAGATGAGGAAAGTGAGGTCCAGTGACTTGTCCAAGGTCACAGAGCCAGGATGTGAACCCAGGTCCTTTGAATCCAAATTCAGCATTTTTTCCCCACTGTACTGCAGAGATAATCCTCTTTCTTAGGCATTTGGAATAGGACTGATATGCTTCAGAGTGAGTGAATGTGTGTGCGTGTGCAGGTGTACGTGTGTGTGTGTGTGTGTGTGTAATTAGGGGCTGGGATGACATGCTCACCAGGAGGAGAGGTGAACATTCTTTACTCCTCATCCTGTGGGCCAGCCCTCTGCAAGGTACCAGTGGCCCCAAGTTTAGGGGAAGAGTCAAGGCAGAAAACATTCAGGTAATAGAGTCCCTCAGCTCTCTAGCCTGGTGCTTTAGCTGGTCCCGTGACATCACTCCATTCATTCTCCCTGTCCCTGCCCTCCACTTATGGGGCAGGTAACCCTGTAGAAATGGAAATGGACAAGGAGACCATGTAGTGGTAGTTGGGCCATGAGGAAGAGGATGACCAAGGACTGAAGTCTGCAAAGAGGCCGTGGCCGGACATGGCCCAAATGTGGCTCAGGTTGGGTCAGGATTCTATCTGTCTGAGTGACCAGTTCCACTCTCGAGAGGGAGTCTCAGGGGAGATAGTCGTCCCAGCTGAAGGAAGGTTTTTTTGGTGAAGTCCTGTTAGACATTTCTGTTCTTCTTCAGCCCCGGGCTGTGCAAGTGGTTTGAAAAATAAAATTAATCAAAGAAAAGACAAAACATGGCTTCAGTGGGTCTCCCATCCTATCCTGTGTTTTGGGGCCTTCATCCCTGGGTTGCTTTCTTCTTCTTCTTCCTCTTCCTCTTCTTCACCATACAGCACACCATAAAATAGATATTTATTGTCTATATTATATATATTCATATATATATATATATATATATATATATATATATACTTTTTTTAAAAAGACGTCTCAGAGTTAGCAGTGCACTGGATAGCAGAAGGTCACTTCTAGGGGGTAGGGGTGGGGCATGGCCAGCCCGGGTGTGAGGAGAGGATCTCAGGCCTCACTGCAGCATTCATAGATGTTATCCTCCATGAGTGCAATGACCTGCTCAAACTTGTGCTGCAGCTGTGTCCGGCGTGTGGTTGCATTAGCCTCTAGCGCAGCCATAATCTGGGAAGAGAGGACGAGGGAGACTGTTAATGGGACCTCTTAGGGAATGGTTCAACCCTTGGGCACAAGTAGGTAGAATCTGCGGGCGTCCCCCTATGTAGTGAAATTGGGGATGGGTGGGAAAGGTCCCTCTGCCCCCTCAAATATCTCCTCTCCCCAAGTTCCCACAATGCCTGAAATTCCACCATTAGCAGCTTCTCCCCTTGAGTCAAGCACTGCTTTCCCCCTGAGGTTTCCTATTAAAATGCAAAATTCTCTGGAAAGGGGAGAAAGTTTATGACTGGACTGAACTTGACATTGAGTGTAAATTCATTTATTGGTTGCTTTTTTTTTTAATATAGCTAGTAAGTGTCTGAGGCCATATTTGAACTCATGTCCAGGGCCAGTCTCTATCTACTGTACCATGTAGCTACTCCTATAGGATGCTTTTGAAGAGGCAACACAGCGGTCCTAGATGTCTGGAAGGGAAAGGAAGGACATGAAAAAACAGAAGAAAGTGAGGGGTTGAAGAGACGCACTGCCTCTTTCTTGATCTTTCTTGGAACTGGCCCTCTCTCTATGATAAAGCAGTTTCTGAGAAAATCTAGAGGGTCAGAGGAGAAGAAGCAGATTTCCCTTGTTCTAGAGACCTGAAGCACCTCCAGGTGGACGGTGCTGCTTACCTGAGGACGGTATCTCTTGGCATATTTATAAATCTCAGCCATGGCGACCTTAGTGTTGAATTCATTCCGATATTTCTAATGAGAAAGAGAGAGAACATGGTAATGGGGGTGAAGGATGGTTAACTATAGAGAAGGGGAAGTAAATGGCACCTGTCCTTTAGCTGTGAAATGGACCCTCTAACTGGGAAGAACATGGCTGTTGTGGCTCTGGCTTACCTCAGCCACGTGTAAGTGATGGACAGACTGGCTGCCCAGAGGATCCAAATTTGAATCCTTCCTCTGCCCATTGTGAAAGGATAAAAAGTGGATAGAAAGGTTTTTTTTTTTTTAAGGTAGTGGGTGAAACACAGTGGACCTCTTTCTTTTCCTGTCTCCCCTACTCCCAAACACTTCACACTGTGACAAAGGAGCTTGGCTTGGGCCTCCCATGGGATCAATCCTAGGATGAAAATGAGGAAGAGCACCCCGGAATTAGCTTAGCCTTCTCCCATCCCATCCAAGTTATCAGATGAAACTATTTCAGTTTCCATCCCTGGACAATGTTGATCAGGAAGACCTCCTCCTGGGCATTCTACTTTGGGCCACCCATGTGGTCCCTCCTCCTTGATGCCCAAGACAAGACCCCCTCAGGCTTCTTCCTTACCCGAGATTCCTCAGCGAGGTGGGCATTCATTTCCTGCTCGCTGAGAGGAGTCATGTCATGAATCTGTTTGTAGTATCTCTGCACAATTTTCCTGTACTCAGGAATCTCCTTGGCATATAGAAGCTTATTTGTTGGTGAATCCTGAGAGAGAAGGAGGGGGATTAGATGCTGTATTGGGTGTTTGGAAGACGAACTCGAACAGGGGCCCAGCTTTTTTGTGTGTTCTGGACCCCTCTGGCAGTCTGCTGGAGCCTAGAGGCTCCTCAGAATCAGGTTTTTAAATGCACACAATTAAGGATGTGGAATTGCAAAGGAAACCAGTTTTATTGAAATACAGTTATTTATATATTTATATGTATGTGTATATATGTATATGTATACACATACATATATACATATGTGCACACACATATATACATATATATACCAAGTTTACAATCTATTTATCTATATCTGTTTTAAAAACCAAGTTTACAGACCCCAGAATCAGATCCCTTGGATTAGATGACTGCTTCTAGCTCTGACATTTTATGATTCTGTATCTGTAAGGATATAAAACCAATCAGTGGAACATTTTCTATCTCCCTCACTTTTCAAAGAAGGAAACTGAGGCTCAGAGAGGTATACTCTATGCACAATGACTTAGTTGGCCAGCTGGCAGGTCTGGGATGAGAACTCAGGTTTCCTGATTCCCCATCCAGTGCTCTTTCTACCATACCACATTGTCTCCCTTCACAGTACTGAGCAGCATGTATTCACCAAGAAATGCCATGGGAGAAACATCTTAATCAGTCTGGCATTATACAGTGAGAAGTATGGTATGGAGAAAAGGGAATGGGATTTGAGGTCAGAAGACCTGGGTTCAAACCCTTACTCTGTCATGCTATGTGACTTTGGGCAAATCATATGAGCTCTCTGGGCTTCAGTTTCCCTATCTGTAAAATGAGAGGGTTGGCCCGGATGACCTCTAAGACCCCTTTCAGCTCCAAGCCTATGAGCCTTCCACCTAAACCTTAGCCATCTATACACCCAAACTTTGACATCATCCTTTTTAATGATTATGTATTATTACAGCTTTATCTGTGTTTGTGTTTTATCCTTCTGCTTGACTGTGAGCCAGTTCTCCTTAAATTTCATCTCTTTTCAATTCAACAATCCTATTATGTTCTAGGCACTTAACCATCTTTGGGTCATTATGCTCCTCACTAATTGGACTGAGGGATTAGACAATGATCCACTTCTTAGCTGGGTATACAGGTGTGTAGGACAGCTTGCCCCTACACTAAATGGCCTGAAGTCGGGGTACTTTTTGTAAGAGAAATTCTCTCGTTTCCGTCTGCTGTTGTCAGATACATCTATATCTATATTTATATGTAGATAGATAGATATATACATACACATTATAGATATATCTATAGATACATAGATATCTATATATCTTTATAGATATCTAAGTGTGTGTATATATGTGTGTATATATATATATATATATATGTATTTGAAGCTAATGCTGTTTTATTTGACACAAAATTGATTTGGGATTGTTCCTGCTCTTATCTAGAATACAATCCAAGGGCTTTGTGACCCATCTGCCACTAGGGGAGGGGGTATTTTTCACTTACTTTTGTACTTAGAGCTGTATTCTGGATGGCTGGGATCATGGGGAGTCTAACCGCCCAGACCATACCATACTTTACATATAACTATATACTTTTTTTTGTTGTTCAGTTGTTTCAGTCATGTCCAACTTTTCATGACCCCATTTGGGGTTTTCTTGGCAGAGACACTGGAGTGGTTTGCCATTTCCTTCTCCAGCTCATTTTACAGATGAGGAAACTGAGGCAAAAAGGGTGAAATGACCACACAGCTATTAAGTGTCTGAGCCCAGATTTGAACTCAGGAAGATGAGTCTTCTTAATTCTATGTCTATTGTGTCACCTAGCTGCCCATATCTACATCTATATCATATCTATATCTATATGTAAACAAACACACATACATATATATATACACATATATACACATTATGTGTATATGTATGAAATAAATTAATAAATATTTATTAAGGACCTACACTGTGATAAGCACTAGGGATATAAAAAGAGGCAAAAGACAGTTCCTACCCTAAAGAAATTCACAATCCAATGATGAATGTATACATCATATATGTATGCATATAGGTGTATAATAACAATAGTAGTAGTAGCAGCTAATATTTATATTGTGCTTACTGTGTGCTAAGCACTTATAATTATTATCTATTTGGTCTTCACAACAACCCTGGGAGGTAAGTGCTATTATTATCCCCATTTTACAGATGAGGAAATCGAGGCAAACAACTGTTAAGTGATTTGCCCAGGATCACACAATTAGTAAGTGATTGAGGCTGAATTTGAACTCAGGTCTTCCTAATTTCAGGCCCAGTGCTCTCTCTCCTGCCCCACCAGCTGCCCATACTCCATTATAGACTCCATATCCAAAGTGATGCAGAAAAAAACAACTGTGCAAACCTCATTTACTCTGCCCTCTCTACTATGTACATCCTGCCTGTCCAGGTTCAGGATGCTAACAACCACAGAGAATGGAGAAATTCCAGTCAATGGAGAAGTCGCCAGGATTTTGTAGACTATACTAAAGCACTGGGTTTTATTTGAAGGCTTATTTTCCCATTGCCTTCCAGGTTCAGTCTGATGACTCAGCCCCAGTAGAAGGCAGTGTGCAGTGAGGAAAGGTTTCTCTCTTGCAGATCACCAAACAAAGGGAAAACTAGCCGCTGCCTGAGAAGGAAGGGCTCAGGAAATTGTGATCAGAAGAATCCAGGAAGAAGCGATACAGACAACAGAGTAAAAAGCACCCCTCCCAAACTGGCCATGTCCTGCCCACCCTCCCCAAAGAACTCATTTTACCCCGGCTACAGGACTCCCCCAATCAAGGGGTCAGGGTGAATTTCCAAGGTCTTACATCAATTCAGGAAACAGTTGGTGGGGTTCTGCTGGGCAGCAGCTGAAGCAAATCACACCCCTAAAAATCACAAAGTGTCTTTTTCATTCATTCACCAAGCATTCCTAAAGCATCTACTGTGTGTCAAGCCCTAAGATAGGTGCTGAGGATTCAAAGAGAAGAATAAAATAGTCCCTGCCCTCAAGAAGCTTCCATTCTATTCGGGGTGTGTGGAACATGGATATAAGGAGAGGGAAGGGAACAAGCATTTATTAAGCACCTACTATGTGCCCTGCACTGGGCTAAGTACTTTACAAATATTATTAAGCAAACACAGAACAGATACAAAGTTAATACAAAGTGATGTGATGGGGGCTGACAACTAGGGCAATCAGGAAAGGCTTCCCATAAGAGGAGGCATTTGAAGCTCGGAGTCGAAGAGGAGGAGGAGGTAAGCAGGGAAAGCTGTCCAGGCATTGGGGACAATTTGGGCAAAGGAAAGGCTGGGGATGAAATGCTGGGCAGGGGAAACAGACCCTTAGTAGCTGTATAACAGAGAGGTAGAATAATAACAACAACCAACATGTATATGGACCTACTGGCAACTACCTGTGTCACCATGACTAAGCTTGTCCCTTTCTTACATTGGACTTCCATATTGTGCCCTATATAATGACAGAGGCTAGAGTATCTTGGGGCTGGGAGGGCTACCTAGGTGGCTCAGTGGATAGAGTGCCAGGCCTGGAGTCAGGAAGACTCATCTTCCTGAGTTCAAATCTGGCCTCAGACACTTACTAGCTGTGTGACCCTGGGCAAGTCACTTAACCCTGTTTGATTCAGTTTTCTCATCCTTTAAAAAGAGCTGGAGAAGTAAATGGCAAAGCACTCCGGTATCTTTGCCAAGAAAATCCCAAATTGGGTTCTGCAGAGTCAGAAATGACTGAAACAACAGAACAAGAAGAAAAATGGACCCCTTCTCAGAATCAGGTCTTTAAATTTACAAAATAAGATACAGAGGACTACAAAGGAAACTAAGTTTATTGAAATATAGTTGTAAGTATATGTATAAATGTGTGTATATATGTATATATATAAATTAAAGTATGTATATATGTATATGTGCGTATGGGTATGTGTATATACATACATACATACATACATATGTATATATTTCAAAGTTCATAGACTCCAGGTTAAAAACCCTCATGAAGGCACACTGTTCTGGTGGAAGCTTGTTGTAACTGGATGAGAAATTAGGACACATGGGTTTCTGTCCTGGCCCCCCTGGCTTTATGACTTAGAGAAATCCGTTTCTTTTTTGTCTTCATTTTCTCTCTCTAAAATAAAGTAGGTGGATGAGATGACCACCATTTCTATGACAGTGTCATTTTGGACTTCCAGGCTTAAGGGGGTAAGTGGAAGCGTATCAAACAAAGCAGTGCTACAACCCCTCCCCCCAAAAGCCAATCCATCCATCAGTTAATAAGCATTTATTGAGTACCCACTATGGATCAGGCACTGTGATAGGCGCTGGGCATGTAAGACAAGAAGGAAATACCCCCTGCTCTCAGGACACTTAGATCCTGTTGATTGAAAGTCCAGGCATGATTGGGGTAGAGAAGTTTTGTCATTGCTGATGCCTAAAGGGGATGTGGGGATCTAAGCTGCCGTCGGCAAAGGGATTATTTTATTCTGATGGGTGAAAAAGAGAGTTTCCTCTCTGGCTCAATCTCACTTCCCTTTATCCCATGAGACTGGACTGCTGGAAGCCTTTCCATCTGCTGCCTGACCCTAGCTAACCTCTAACCCTGTCTATTGCCTGATAAGGGAAAACAAAGATGTTGGATATCGGGTCAGAAATGTGAAAAAGATATATAAACAACTGGTCCCTTCCCCATCCTCCTAGCCCTCTAATTAGGGAAATCCAGCCATTTGGTCTCTGTGGAGGACTTTTCTGAAGCTTTCAATTTCAATGGATTATACAGTAATGGGGAAGAGAAAATGTCTTGCTGTGAATTCTTACACTTGTGAGGGGGTCTGGTAAGGTCTGGAGCCTGATAGGATAGAAGGACAATCTAGGCACAGTATAGTGAAAAGAGAAGTGAATTTGTAATTAGAAGACCAACGGAATCCAATATACCTAGTATTTATTGTGTCTGCAATTTGTTGTCCTAAGTGGTGGGGACAAAAAAAAGGCAATC